CCCAATTCTACAGACACACTCTAAAATCCTGTAAAGAGACTATGCTGAATAGTGGAGGTTGCTATAGCCATAAAGAACTCTATATTAATTCCAATGGTTTTGGAGTAAGACGTCCACCAGGCTCATAGAGGTGTAAGAGTCACGTAGCAATAGGGAATATATCATCCTTTAAACTTTTTTTTTCCAGAGATGCTTAGAGGATGTTTGAATTGCAATTGATTTTTAACAACCTAGGTAAGCAGCTATAATAATAAACCATTTATAGTACTTTAAAAATGAAAATAATAAAACATACGTTTACAAAGTGGGATGACACCACTCCAAGTCCCGTTACTTGTACAAGTACGTGTAATTGAGCTCTTGGGATCCATTGTGTATCCAGGCTGACAAATGTAGGTAACATTCTGTCCAACAATATAGTCTTCTCCATATCGCAGACCATTCGCTGGAACACCCGGATCTCCACAGCTGATAACTGTGAACATTCAAACATGTAATTAAGATAAAATAAGCTACCTTTTATCATTGTCATTTTATTTTAGTAAAGCCCAACTCCAGTCAAAACAGATTTTAAAAATTTTGTCAGAGTGAGGGATAGTTTTCAAGTACTTATTTCTGCTTGTTGCATAGCTAGGGAATATTTCATTCAAAAGCAACTGAACTCTGGAACTAGTGAACAAAAAAAGAAGGTTTTATTGCCTGTGCTCTCCTTGCTGCTGATCTTTTCCCCTTTACTGACTTACCATGCCTTGCTCTGTACTGTGTCTCTGTGAGGAGAACATTTGTTGCATCAAGTCAGAGCCCCCAGTAAGAACAATGAGCAGCACAGCAGTGACATCACCAAACCTCTCTCCAAATCCCATAGCATGTACACAGTTGCAGTTTATCCTCCTTTATGTAGGTGGCGCTGTTTGCTGACCACTGTGCAGAGGGAATAGAGGGTGAGAGGAACATTGTTTCTCTGCAACCTCTGTAGGTGTCTCCAGGAGAGCAGTGGTCCAGTTGGGCAGTGCAACACTGAATGAATGAAGTTGGTGGCCATCTTGAGTGAGTTCAATGCTAATCAATAGCAGTGTCACGCTGCAGTTGGCATGCAATTGCAAAGTGGATAGAGTAGGGACAGGATCCACACTGGATACAGACAGCTTATTTAGCCTAGGGAGAGGTTCCTGATGAAAAGGGACAGATTAGGGACACCACTGCCAGCGCTGTTAACCCCAGGATGCCTGTGCTGTGACTTAGAACCCTTGTCAGTCTTCTCTTTGTCGATACACTGCCACTTTGCCTAAAGCCACCCCTCTACTCAGATGGTGCTCTGGTATCATAAACCTGCTAACTGCTGGGACCTTGCCACTATGCCTCTAACATAGCTGAGAACTCCCGTAACAGTGTTCTTGTGATATTGTGCTCCTAGTATTATATTTTGTTAAATTCTTAAGTCAAGTACTTTGGTGCTGTACTTCACTTGCCGTTTGCCTACCTTTAACATAACCAAATAATAATTTTGACACTTTCTTCTCTGTATGCCTTCCTTCTACATTTGGCGCTAACTCCTAGGCCCTGCCCAAAAGCAGACACAGGCAGAAGTGCCTTAGATGATCTCACCCTGCAGATATACAGCTATAAAACTAGAGACAAAGGGGTGCCTAGGCACACTGATATAGTTACCAAGTGAACTGCTATTTTTCAGAATGAATTCCAGACAAGAGTTACTTTTTTAAGGGTAGTGCCTATACACAATTAACATTTCTAGATGTTCCCTATAACATAGCAGATCTTCACTTTTTGAGTTTAGGTCCACTTTTAACAGGAACAGGGCAACCTTTCTAGATCATTGAACCCAAATAGGTATCAGTGCTATTCTCAGTGCTAACAACTAAATACCACTCTACCAATACATTTAAAAGTCAGGAAACATTTTCCCCTTTTTGGTCTCTTTTCTAACTATGCTAATGAATGAGAAAAGTGAGAGAGAAAATGGCTGCATAATGGGTTTTGGAACAGTTTTTCACTAACTTACTTGTGCAGTTGGGTAGGCTTCCTGACCACGTGCCATTAGCTGTGCATTGCCTGATGCTTGTGCCAGAGAGAATGTAGCCATCAACACAGGAATATATTACTGAGCTGGAGAACGTTGTCCCATCGATTCGAAACACCTTTCCATTTGCTGTTGTTCCTGGATTTCCACATTGCACAGCTAAGAAGATAAACAAATACATACAATCACTTTATGGCAAGGAACAATAAAAAAAAAAGGTTTTAACACTTACTCCATCTATCCAAAAGTTAAAACAAATATGTTTTGGTTGAAGTTTGGCTCCATCTTTCTGGCAGATATAGAAAACCATCAGATGACTCAGTACCTCAGGCTACAGCAAAATATTTTTTTCTGATGACCCAAAGAAGAATAGAATAGTTCTGCTTTGCTTACAAATCCAAAGTAAGAATCATTGAAACCTGGTACAAAGCTCTGCCATTGACCAGCTGACTGGAGCAATTGGTAAAGGAGTCATACACCAAATTTTACTTGTCTAAGTATGATAACTGTTTATAATGCATTATATTTTTGAGTTTGTGCAGCTGGTGGTTAAACAGTATTGTCTGAGTAGCAATTTTCTGTCTTTGTTTTTGTATGATAGTAGAACACAAAACAGGGCAAAAGGCTGTAAGATATTGAACTCTAAGTCTTAATCTGGACTCAAATGCTATTTGTATTATCCAAACAATAAGCGCTGAATTAATTATTTTTTAATTTGCATTGTATTTATTCTTTGTTGTACACATTGTATATACTTTGCCAGGGGTCAAGTGTCCTTTTTAAACACGTAGCTCTTTTTGATTATTCTTCCAAACAAGTTTGAAAATGTCATTTTCTTTTTCTATCCTTTTAGAGTCGTCATTATGTCTGTCAGCATGACACTTCTAGTTCAGACTTACTTTACTTTTAGTGTAAAAGAAATGATAAAGTAGGGCAAAGTGAAGAATCAGTCAGTCCCTGTTAAAATACAAGCACCTGAATGGTTCTCCACCAGACAATGTTCGTAAAAACCACTGCGACTTTCTAGGAGGACATGGGCTTTTAGATTTGTTCACTTAGCGGGTTACCCAAAGACATAAAGTGATTATGTCTCATTCCAGCTGATAGCAGTTGTTCAGCATATAATCACATTGCCCAAATGAACTGCAGTTCAATTGCCCACAATCAATTTTCCTTAGTTATTTCTTTTGAGGTTCTCTGGTACAGGAAAAGTCCCAGGGAACTCTGCTTGTTGCATTATGTTTGGCAAGGACATATCTTGTTCATGGCTAGCTTGATATCTTGCTCACAGTTGGCTACCAGAGGTTACATGCAATGAGATTAGTTAAAGTGCCTCTAGGGATGCCTTCTTTCTGTATTTTCTTTCCTTTGTGTTTTTAATTCTGTTCAATGAACAACACCATGTGCTGTATAGAGAACATCCATTTTCCAAAAGTAAAGGTAAGACAAGCAAAATTACGATGTATTTCCACTTTTATCTGAAATGTATAATCAATGTTAATCCCTTTCGGTGTCAGATTTTTTTTTTTTTTTCTTCACATGAACACAAACATGAACACAAATTTATACCTCCAAAACATATATTTTCTGAAAGCAGACACACTGTAGTTGCAAATAGGGATGAGATTCATGTTTGCAGCCATATAGCATTCAACTTGAAATTTACATCGCAGATTGTCAAGCAAGTGAACTAAATTACCCCTCCCTTCTGAACTCCATAGACTACATTTAGTCAATGACATCCCCTGCCCCTTTGTTTACATTTATCTGGAGAAATGTCATTCAGAAATGGGAACAAATTATCTCAGCAGTTGGCATGTTTTGTTTTTTCTGGTCAACAGGTGTTGTTTATCATGGCTGACATGGATCTAATGGATCACTGGATGACTTGATTTATGATAGATTTACACCATGGGACTTTTTTTTATTTTGTTTTCTAAAAAAAAATACCTTGACACATTGTTGTATTTTTCTTCACTATTTTACATTTTATTAGGTGAGAAGCCAGGGATACAATGTTTCCTTTACTCATTCACTTAGGGAGAAGACCAATATACCTGTAGTACTTATTTGAAAAGTGGCTTCCAGATTTGGATGAGTTCTCTCTTCCCCTACAGACCCCCAGATCTACCAGGACAAGGATATGAAGAGGCACTTGTCCCATGAAGCTTTGCTGGCCTTGGAGGTCTCCTTTTAGAATCCTTATGTCAGGAAAGGGCTCACCGCTGGTGGTCCTTTGGCTCACCTTCTCTATGGGCTGCAGTACCAGGACATACCAGCGAGTGCCTTTCAGCAGCCAGGATCTCACCTCCTGCAAGCAAGCCATCACCTGATTGCAGGAGGTGTACTTAAACAGAAATTAGGCCTGTAACCAGTGCCTTGGTGTTTTGTTCCCATGTGCCTGTGATATCCTGTTTTCCTGAACCTGTTACCTGTTCCTGTGATCTGCTCCGTGTCCTGTCTGCCTCTCTGCGCCCCATGCTTGATCAACTGTGTATGACCCCGGCTAGTCCTGACTACTCTTTTGTTCTGCACATGTATATATTGGGTGAAGGTTTTTTTTTATTTGGTTGTTGCTTGCACTGTGCGTTTGTATACTGGTATGCCTCACAAATAAATTATATTATTTACATTGATCCTGAAGCCTGTTATCCCTGTGTCAGTCCACACATCTCCGGTCATATCCAGATTACTGACACCTAATCAGACCCTCATCAAAGATAAGGGTTTGGTAAGAAGTTTTAAAGAGACTCCATGCATTTTTGTTTGTTTGCTTGTTTGTTTTTTAGTGGGGTCCCTTCTTACAATCCATACCAGACGCTCATTAGGATAGTCTGGTACAGATGTTTAACCACCTCCTGCCCACCATATAGTAATATGACGGATGCAAGGTGGTTCTCTCGTTCTGGGAGGACGTCATATGACGTCCTCCCATTCTCCCAGAGCACGCAGCGATTTGCGTTGTGCTGTGTCCCTCAGACACAGCAGATCACCGAACCACGGAAAGAGCCGAAGATGTCGGCTCGGTCATGTGATCAGCTATGTCCAATCACAGCTGATCACATGTAAACAGGGAAATGCCGGTTATTGGCATTTCTCTCCTCTCGAGCTGTCAGCTTGTGAGGCGAGGAGAGATGGTAATCGGCATTCCTTGGAGGGGACATGTACACTGATCATCAGAGCACTGATGATCAGTGTGCCCTGATGATCAGTGTAGCCCCAGAAGTGCCACCTATCAGTGTCCATCAGTGCCATCTGTCAGTGCCCGTCAATGCCACATATCAGTGCCTACCAATGCACATCAATGCCACATATCAGTGCCCATCTGAGCTGCCTTTCAGTGTCACCCATCAGTCCCAGTCAGTGCCACCTATCAATACCAATCAGTGCCACCTATCAGTGCTGACAATCAGCGCCGCCTAACAGTGCCAGTCGTTGCTGCCTATCAGTGTAGCCTTTCAGTGCCCATCAGTGATGCCTGTCAATGTCCATCAGTGCCACCTACCAGTGCCTCCTCATCAGTGCCACCTATCAGTTTCCATCAGTGCAGCCTATCAGTGCCCATCACTGCAGCCTCATTAGCGCTCATCAATGAAGGAGAAAAATCACTTATTTACAAAATGTTATAACAAAAACTAAGAAAAAATGTTTTTTTTTTTTTCAAAATTTTCTGTAGTTTGTGGTTTGCTAAGAAAAAATAAAAAACCCAGAGGTGATTAAATACCACCAAAATAAAGTTCTATCTGTCACAAAAAAATGATAAAAATTTCATATGGGTACAGTGTTGCAAGACCACGCAATTGTCATTCAAAGTGCAACAGCGCTGAAAGCTGGAAATTGTAGGCAGGAAGGGGGTATAAGTGCTGCTATTGGCAACAACAGTAATCAATTGTAAAATATCCAACATTCTGGTTGTACCCGACTGGACTGTCGACTTGCGTACAATCAGCCTGCCCATACATGAACTGAATTTCGGACGATCATCGGCTGAATTTCAATCCATATATGGCCGACTTAAATGGTATGTTTTTTTTTTTTTTAAATGTCACTTTTTCTTCAGTACAATGGTTTCCAAACTGCAGTCCACAGGCTGGATGTGGCCTTTTGCTTGCCTTTATCTGGGCCTTGGGGCACTATTATTCCCACTGATACTAGGCACTATTCCTTCTACTGACACCAACAATCAGGCACTATTCCTCTCACTCACACCAACAATGGGGCACTTCTTTCTTCCACTGACACCAAGAAAGGGGTACTATTCCTCCCACTGACACCAACAATGGGACATTATTCCTCCTACTGACATCAATGATGGAACACTATGACTTCCACTGATACTAACATTGGGGCACTATTCTTTCCACTGATATGGATGATAGAACACCTTTTCTCCCACTATTATTAATGTTGGGGCACTAGTTTCCCCCTTACTGACCACATAATTTAATGTACATTTTTTACTTCCACTGACCATCAAGTCATTGTTTACTTCCAATAATGCTGGGGCATTTTCTATTCCCACTGGCCACAGTCCATCCACCCCCCCTTTAAAGTCTAAAAGATAGTAAACTGGCTTGGTTTAGAAATTTTGGAGATCCCTGTTTTAGCATTTCACAAGTAGGTTTAAAGCATTCCAAACACATTATTAACTGCTTCTCAAATGCTCTATAGCAGAAATACTACTACAGGGCAGCACAGGTGCCCAAAATCATGTGTGTGTATATATATATATATATATATATATATGTGTGTGTGTGTGTGGTCCCACCCATTGATTACTCGCTGGCGCCCAGTGATTTCTGAGGATCTCCGATGGGAAGGAGAACTGTTTTGTTTACTAACAGTTCTCCTCCTTGTCAGCGTGGGCACACTGCTTTGGATGGCTGTGCACAGCACAGCCATCCAAAGCAGTGTGATTATAGTGAAGCACACTGACACAGCACCCTAGTAGAACACTTCCAGCACACAGTTAACCCTTTGATCACCCCTTATGTTAACCCCTTCCTGCCCAGTGCCATTGGTACAGTGTCAATGCTTTTTTTTTTAGCACTGATCACTGTATTGGTGTCACTGGGGATGTCAGTAACACCAAGTAAGTTCCCCCCCAGTGTCAGAATGTCCGCCACAGTCCTGCTATAAGTCGCTGATTGCCGCCATTACTAGTAAAAATAAAAATCCCAGTATATAAACAGCCATTTGTAAATGCTACAGCTTTCCCGTAAACCAATTAATTTACACGTATTTGGATTTTTTGTAGCAAAGACATAGCAGAATACATTTTTGTGTAAATTTATAATGAAATTTGATTTTTTAAAATTTTTTTACTGCACATGTTTTATAGCAAAAAGTCAAAAATATTGTTTTTTTTTTCTCAAAATTGTTGGTATTTTTTTTTATAGCACAAAAAATAAAAAATGCAGTTTTGTTTTGTGTTTTGGAAAGCATGGGACAAAGTTTTGAGAGGCAGAAGGGAAGTAAGAACATCAAACTATCCATAATACCAGATGATGCTAAGATATTATTTGCTTCATTTTGTTTTCTAACATTTTTTTTTTCCACATCCAATCACTTTCAGAAGCTTGTCGCCTCAACCTCTGCAACATCTCCAGAATACATCTCTTTTTAATCAATGACACCAGAAAGATTCTAATTCACTCCCTGGTTTTCTCTTGCCTCGACTACTGCAGCTCCCTCCTCATTGGGTTACCTTTACATAGGCTATCCCCCCTCCAGTCCATCTTGAATGCTGCTGCCAGGCTCATCCACCTTACCAACTGTTCAGTGTCTGCTACCCATCTCTGGCAATCCCTCCAATTAAATTCAAAATACTAACAACAACAACTTACATAGCCATTCACTACTCGGCCCCCAGCTACATCACTAACCCAGTCTCAAAATACCAACTAAATTGCTCTCTTCATTCCTCCAAAGACCTCCTGCTTTCTCTTTCCCTTGTCAACTTCTCCCATGCTTGAGTCCAGGACTTCTCCTCTCCAATCCTATGGAATTCCCTGCCCCAACCTGTCCAACTATCACCTACTATGTCCACTTTTAGGAGATCTCTGAAAACCTTTTCTTCGGAGATTCAGAGAAGTCTATCCTGCCTCCACCTAACAACTGTATTTTTATTTTATCCATCAGCTGATCCCCCACAGCTATTACCTTTTGTTTAACTTGACCATCCCCTTTTAGACCATAAGCTCTAACAAATAGGGCCTTCTGATTCTTCCTGTATTGAATTGTATTGTAACTGCACTGTTTGTCCTCATGTTGTAAAAAGCTGCACAAACTGTTGGCGATATATAAATCCTGTATAATAATAATAATAATCATAATTATTAATAGTATTCACATTTAGAACATCATATTATGAGCTTCCTTCCTGCAGCAATGGTACATTTTCACCCCAAAATATTTTTTTCAGAGAAATTGAATTTCAACACTGGCCAACTTGGAGTTCCATTATTTATTGCAGGTATAGCGACACATTTGTCACAATAGTTGCATGTAGCGTACTTATAGTCTGTGACAGTACTTAATTATTGAGTTTGTTATGACAAGGTTGCCCTGAATCCCCATTATTGATGCCATGTCACTCATTGTATACCACCATTATTATTGAATTATCTAACTGCCTCTCTCATTATTGACAACTTATTCCTGCAGCAAGTAAATAAACATCCATAATACATTTCGCTGCCTTCAGGACTGTTGTTTCTTGGCTCAATTACACAGGGAAAGGTTGGAAAAGCATTAAGCTGTTGATTATGTGAAATATATTAGATGACTTAATGACACCTCAGAACATAATGTCTAAACCGTTTCACTGAAAGATGTGGAGCTTAACTGAGAAAAACCTGGCTTGTTAACCATTAAACCTGTAAAAATATTTAAAGCAAGAATCAGCAATCATAAAGTCACTAGCAGTTTTCCTTTATTTAATCGTATATAGGTCTCTGTTCTTATAAGTTTGTGCAAGCCAGGATATTGCCCAATTGGAAAACATAACATTACTCAACATGCCAAGAATAGCGTTTACTCATGTCAGGGAAAGGGTAGGTCATACCAGAGTATGATCTTTGTTCATTCATGCAATGTATTGCCACTGGCCAACTGTACTGTGCCTATGTCATTACATTTTAAGTAGCTGTAAAGGCTTAACTGTGGGAAGCATGATGGCAAAGTGGATAGCATGGCAACCTTGCAGCATTAGGAAACAATGTTGAATTTTACTTGGGCATTATCAGCATGTTGTATATTCTACCTGTACGTTCATTCTGTAATTGCCTTCCAAATACACCATCGGGCTAATCACTTTTTTTTCAGTGAATACTGCTGCTTTCTAAATCAGCTCTTATTAAATGTTATTTGTATAATTTAAAATATCAAAGCTCCTTATCAAAATTATGGTTTTACTGAGTTGAAACTAAAATATTGGTTTTATACATTTTTCAAAATACAGTTCAGTTGTTTCTTTAATGCTGAAATCTAGGAAAAGTGAAAATACTCCCTTGCTTTGGCGCTGCCCCTACACTGCAAGAGGTAAGGATACATTTACAGTTGTGTTCAAAATAATAGCAGTGTGTTGAAAAAAGTGACTAAAGCGCAAAATCCTTCTAATAGCTTTTATTTCCATACACACAAATGCATTGGGAACACTACACATTCTATTCCAAATCAAAACATGAAGAAAAATAGATCAAATTTGTGTTGTTCCTCTAAAAAAAATTCAATATAAATATAAAGAAGTGCAGAAAATGATAGGCTGCTCAGCTAAAATGATCGCAAATACTTTAAAATGGTAACCAAACCTGAAAGACGTGGAAGAAAGCGAAAAACTACCATTCAAATGGATAGAAGAATAGCCAAAACGGCAAGGACTCAGCCAACAACCAGCTCCAGGAAGATCAAAGAAGGTCTAAAGTTCTCTGTGAGTACTGTTAGAATTAGAAGACGCCTATGTGAAGCCAAGCTATCTGCAAGAAGCTCCTGCAAAGTCCCACTGTTGAAAAAAAGACATGTGCTGAAGAGGTTACAATTTGCCAAAGAGCACATTGACTGGCCTAAAGAGAAATGGCGCCACATTTTGTGGACTGATGAAAGTAAGATTGTTCTTTTTTGGGTCTAGTGGCCGGAGACAGTTTGCCAGACGACCCCCAAACACTAAATTCAAGCCACAGTACACTGTGAAGACAGTGAAGCATGGTTGCGCAAGCATCATGATAAAGGGAACCAAAGTTCATCCACTGTAATTGACTTAAAGGGAGTTTATGAAGAATGCAAGGAACTTTTTTAGGCTGACATACACTTTAAAAGAGAAGTGTGGGATTTAACAAAAAATTTGCATTCTTACTTAGAAGGATGCAGCATCAATTGGATGCTGCACCTGTCCCCACCTCCCCACTTCTACACCGACAATTGAGCAGTCAAAGACCACTAATAGGTCAGTTCTC